CCCGTGTCCGCCCTCTGGTCGGGTCTGCCCTTCGGGCCCCGTTCCCGCGGGGGCAGGCGGCGTAGGTCTGGGGCTGGGCCCCGGGGCCGCCTCCCGAGCTCGGTGCGGTGTCCGCGCTGGCTGCTGGGGGCGCGGGAGACGCCCGCCAGGGGTCTCCCAGACTGCGAGGCGCCCACTAGTCCTGCCGGCCTCTGCCTGGGGCCCGGGGGAAGGAGTGGGCGGTGGGCTGGCTGCCAGGACTCAGCCGGGAAGGTGGCTTGGTCCCCTGCCGGAGCAGAGCGGGGAGAGATGGAGGCAGGGAAACTGAGGCAGAGCCTCGCTTGGCGGGACCTGGGCCTCCCCCAGCCTCAGGCTGCACAGCTGCAGTCGCTTTTCACGGCTGTCCCGAGCACACTCTGCCACTGTGCGTGGGCGAGACGGCTAGCAAGGGCCGAGGGCGTGAGCGCAGGCAGGGGTGGGGGACTGGCCGAGCAGAGGAGCGGATTCGTGAGGGGGGCTCCGGGCAGCGACACCAGGAGGGGTGAAGCACGAGGTGAAGCGTTGGGGACTCAGTTCGGCCCGGCCGAGGGGCGAGCGCTACTTTTCTTTTGGCAGTACGGGACGGAATCTGGGCCTTCCCACTGAGCTGCACCTCAGCCCTTTATTATTTTGAGACAGTGATTTGCTAAATCACTGAGTTGCTCAAGCTGGGCTTGAGGAGGTATCCTGCCTCAGCCTCCCAAACCGCTGAAATTACACGTGTGCACCACCCTATCCTTCTAAGGCCTCTCGGTGCCTGCTTCTGGAAAGCTAGGGTAACTCACAGGGCCACGGGGCCAGACCTCAGGTCCCCAGCACCTGCAGTGACATCCGCTTCTGCAGGACGCTGACTCTAGTCCAGGCTCTGTGCAGAAAGGGCTGTGTGTTCATTCACAGCAGATTTCCCAGACAGGAAGTAACTGACATGCCCGGCCAAGCCATGTAGAGCAGGGTGGGCGGAACCCTTGGCCATGGGCCCACCAAGGACTTCAAGGGACTCCCTGGACCCAGGGCTCTGTGCCCGCCTCTGCCCAGCCCAGCCTGTCTCTTCACAGCAGGAAGCAGGGCCCACAGGGACAGCGCAGGAGCCTGAGCTGGGGGTACTGCCTGGACCAGCAGGTCCCCAACTGTGTGGGTACCGTCCCAGAGCCAGCTCCCAGGGTGTGCAGCTGCGCCGGGACAGGGGGCAGGCAGGTGGGGGGCAGCCTCTCTTGGGTTTCCCACTGTGTGGAGTTGGTCTGTGTGTGTGAGCCAAGGGGCAGTGGCTTGTCAGGAGCCTGGAGGGCAGATAGCCAGCTTCCTGGACTGCTGAGGGCACCTGGGGCCTCCCCCCTGGAGATGTGGATGCCAGGCTTGGGGAAGCTTCCTGCCTCAGCTGGGGGTCAGCTTTCTGACTCGGGATGCTCAGGACCCACCACCAGAGTGTGTTAACCACGACTTTTATTTTCTGCACTTCTGAGGCTTTGACGGTGGGACATGCTGACACTGGGCAGCTGCCCCTCCAGAGCCAGCAGCAACACTGTGTGAACCACTGGCTCAGTCTGCACCCCGTCAGCTCCACACCCTGGGCCCCCGTCCACCGGCCCCGCCACTCGGGGACCGGGACCAGCCGGGCAACCAGGGACGCCCTGTGCCCATACCTGCTGAGGTTCTGCAAACTGGCAGAGCCTAAGCCGCTGAGCTGCGCCCCCTGCTGTTCCCGGGGAGCCACAGCAGAACTGCCCGCCCACGTTGCTCCTCCTCTTTCTGCCTGTCCTTCCTTGCGTGGTGGCGCAGCCTCTCAGCACCTGTGAGCTGTCACCTGTCTGTCCCATGGCAGGCGTCCCCTATGCTGTGCCCACCAGACGGGACAGTTAGAGCACTTTAGAGCTGATGGTAAAAGCTACACTGTAAGTGGAAGAAGTCTCCTGTCCAGGCTGGGCTGTGGTGGCTGTACCTTGGCCACTCCCAGGGACTCTGGGGAGCCCTGCCCTGTCCCCCAGGGCTGTTCCAGTGAAGGGACTGCTGAGGGAGCTACCACGATGCCCAAGCCAGGTAGTAGGAGGGCCCACTCTGACCTCAGCCGACTCCACTCCCTGGGGTTTGGGGCCCAGCTCCTGAGCCCCTGCCTCCAAGGAACTTTGGTTCAGACACGTGGGGTTGCTGGCTATGGCCTTCTGTGGGCCCCGCTGGGCCGTGGGCCTACAGTTTGAAAGCCCTGTCCATGGACCCCCACCGTGACGAGCACCTCAGATAAGCACCACCGAGGCACCTGCTTGTGAAGCCCTTCTGGACTGTCAGCTCTGTCCCCCAGGCAGAACACCTGACCTGCCTCCCATCCCCACGTGTCTGACCCAAGAGATGTCTCCCTGCACCAGGGTCGGGGACACTCCTTTGTCTCCCTGTGCCTGGGGCCAGGCTTCAGCCACATCCCTTGGAAGCCACAGGTGCACCTCCCTCACACGGTGGGGTGGAGGTTCAAGACCCCTGTATCCTGGTAGGCGGCCATGAGAACCGAGAAAGCCAGGGACCACTCTGAAAGTTGGACAGGAGGCGCGGTGCAGGGAGTGGGGCGTGGCAGGACCAGCAGTTATCAGAATAACATTTATTGATATGGTCAGTGCTACCTCGTTAATACTGCGTCATGAGCTGCCGTGGCTGGCTGAGGTAATAGGGGCGGGGCCAGCGGCAGCCTGGGCTCCAGGTAACTGGACTGCAGCTTGGGCCCAGGAGTGGTGGTTATTGCGTTGGACCCCTTCCCTCACTCACGTGCTGGCGCCCACCTGCCCTCACCCCCGGCTCACACGCATATGGTGCCCCTTGCACACGCAGGTCAGTCCACACACACGCACTCAAGCTCTCTTGCACCCATTCCTACTCACAAATGCTGGTACAGTGGCACCAGGCCTCTCCCCACACACTCTCAGTTCACTCCTGCACTTGTCCACTCACACCCACTCACACACCACCCCTTGCTTTAAACTCATCCTAAGTCTCCTGATGATAAATATGCTCGTTAGTTACAGTAGTCATAGTAAAATAAAGTGTATGTCAGGCTACAGGGAGAAAGTGCATGTTGATTTGGACCCCGGGCTGCCCCTCCCCGCCGAGGGCAAAGGTCCCTGCAGGGGTGGAGCTCCTCTGTGGGTGACCCCTGGGGCATGGCCCTGTGGCCAGTGCCACCTTCCCCAGTATCCTTGCTTGCCCTGGGGGCACCGAGCTGTCCTGCCAGACTTGGCCCACAACAAAACTGGCTAAAAAAATAAAACTCTTCATCTCGCAGCCTGGCACCCAGCACGGTGCCTGCATCAGGCTGGGCGGCACCTCGCTTCTGCCCCGCCCCAGCCCCCTCACCTCGGTGCCTCAGTGAGCCAGCGCAAGGGTGCTGAGCCCCGGCACGCGGGCAGAGGCTGGGGTGGCAGTGCCGGGCAGGCAGAAGCCGTGTCCACGCGCTCATGCAGGGGGCCCAGGGGGCCCGTCCCTCAGAACTCCACGGTACTCACGACTGTTCTGGGCTCCTCGAAAGTGGCAATGAGGATCTGCTGGGGTGGGGGGATGGCGATGAGGTCGCCCATGTCCGGAGGTACCCGGGGGCCCCCCTCGTCCTCCTCCCGGGCTTCGTACAGTGTGTTGATGTGGAGCAGGGGGTGGGTGGCATTTCGGCTCAGGATGGCCAGGGGATCGGCCTTGCCCAGGCTGGCTGGTGACAGAGGGGCCACAGCGGGCGGCGCGGAGGGTGAGCAGACGTGGAACGGGCCCCCAGCAGGAAGTCCAGGCCGGGCTGGCTCTGCAGGGTATGGGGTCTCCTCGGGAAGCGGGGCATCTGTGAACAGCAGAACACAGGCGCTGTGGGCTCTGACCTCCCCGGCCACGCCCCATGCCCCCACTGGGCCTGCTTGTCCTGCTTCCTTCGCCCAGGCCAGCACCACGTTCTCCCTCACATGCGGGGGCAGCCGCCACAGCTGGGGCTGGGCTCAGCCTTCCTCCTCCTCATGCTGCCTGTGGGCCCTTAACTGGTCTGTTCTGTCCCCCATGCACCCTGCTCCCGGTGACCCCTTCTCTATTGCTGGACTGCAGGCTCCTCGCCCTTACCTTTGGTGGGTGCTGTGGCTAGGCCCAGCCCGCACTCCTCAGTTTGGGACAGGAAGCTGCCTTCCTGGCTGCGGGAGGCGGGCAGGGTGGCGGGCACCGTCTCGGGCTTGGCCTTCTTGGTGCCCAGGATATAGGGGTGCACATCCAGGGAGAAGTGGCGTGCATGCTTCTTGTCTGGGGCAGTGGCGGCACCCGTATCACCCCCGCCGCCCTTGTAGTGGTGTGCAGCGCGGGCACCTGCGTCCAGGAGTGGGGCGATCAGAGTGTCGGTAGCCGTCTTCCTGCGCACAGGCTTGGGCTTCTCAGCCTTGCTGTTCTCCACGCGCATGATGGCCAGCTGCTCCTTGAAGGGCTGCGGCAGCGGGTTGCTGGTGGGGATCCACTTCATCTTCTTGCGTGGCCGCTTGACCACGGGCGGCTCAGCAGAGCCGTCGGGCTCAGCGGGGTTGGCGCTGGGGTCCACGGTCTGGATGCCCGAGTCACGCACGGTGGGAGTGGCGTCGTGGTTGGACTGGGCCAGCGCGGCCAGCAGCTGCCGCACCACATTGTCATACATGAGGTCGCTCTCGTTGGTGATGAAATCTAGCCGGTTGAGCGACTTGATGTGGTCCCGGTTCTCGTTGCAGAACATGGCCAGGATGTTAATGTCGCAGAACTGGGAGCGGCGCCACTGCCGTCGGGTCTTGATGCCCACCTTGTGCAGCTTGTCAAAGATGAAGTTGCTCTTGCGGAAGATGAAGAGGTGGATGAGGTTGACGAGGATGATGAGGTTCATGAAGCACAGCAGCACGATGTCCACACCTGCGATGATCCGCTGCAGCTGCACGGACGGCAGCTTGCAGCTGACGCGCACAGCCGGCCCCCCGCCCACTGGGCCATCGGGGGAGGCACCCAACGCACAGGTGAACTCATTCTGCTTCTGTGTGGCGTAGTAGGTGCACAGGTAGGAGATGGGCACCACGCTGAGCAGCAGGATGAGCACGTGCCGTGCCAGGTACAGCTTGGCCAGGAAGTTGCTGCGGCCCCGCCGCTCCAGGTACTTCTCGAACAGGTTCTGCTCCGGGCTTTTCTCCTTCTCGGCATTCTCAATGATCTCCCGCCTCTCCCGCTCCGTGATGCCCGGCCCCTTGGACTGGATCTGCTTCTCGATCTTGGGCGCACGGCCCTCGGCCGCCCGGTGGTAGCAGTTGTCAATCTCCTGTAGCAGGAAGTTGAGCTCGGAGGTGAGGCGGGTGGAGGCCAGGAACTCCCAGCCCAGCGCAGGCACGTACATGATGGCGGCGAAGGCCAGCAGCGCGTATGGCAGGAACTTGTGCTCAAAAAGCGACGGCCACAGGCTGGCGTCTACGCCGGGCAACGCATCCCGCAGCTCCGTCCAGCAGTAGCCACGGGCGTACAGCGCCTGGTCGCGGGTGAAGTTGTGCGGGGTGTAACAGTAAATGGGTTCCTCTGGGGGTGAGAGGAGACACAGGCTGGGGCATGAGGTGGGACTGGCCTGGGAGGGGGGCTGGGGTGGTGGCACTGGTGGGTCTGGTACTGCCCTGCCTGGCACAGCCCCTCCCGCTCAGCCGCCTGCTCTGTGCGGGCACTGCACCCTTGGACCCCAGCTCCTCTGGGGCAGCTTCCCCTCTCTACATCCCACCATGGTGGTGTGGAGCTCACCGTGAGTCCCCGTGGAGCGTTCCTGCCCGTTCCAGTACCCAAATGCCACAGACTCTGCACAAGGGGAAATAAGACAGGCCACACCACCTCTTCCATTGCCTCAGCTGGATCAAAACCAGGTCTTGGCCACTGCCTTGTGCTGCCAGGCACCCATCACTAGGTGGGGGCAGGTGCCAAGGATGCACCTACCTGACTACAGCAGCCCAAGTGCCAAGAGACATTTGCCCTCGCATTTTGGGGCCCCAGCTCCTCACCGGGCACAGCGCAGGGCTCTGGGCTGCCATTGCCCCCACTCTAGGGCCTCTGTCAGTCTAGGCAGCCCCCCATGGCGAGGGCACAAGGATCCAGGAGACCTCGGGATCTGCCCAGCCAGGGAGACCAGTGCATGGTACTAGGGAGTCACAGGGGGCTCCGAGGAGGTGTGGATGGGTGAAGGGAGCGCGGACGGGGCAGAGGCTGGCAAGAGGCTGCGAGGGTCAGGGCGAGCTGGCTCTAAGGCCCGAGGTCCTTGAGGAGCTGGTGACGAGCTAGTCTTGGAGGCGGCGAAGGCATCAGCTCCTGGGTGACAGGCAGCACTTTACGCACTCCGCTTTGTCCTGACAGCCAACCCTAAGACCGCAGGTGGGGATGCCCTTCTCCCCAGGGCCTGTCTGTACGTCTGTCCCCACAGCCTCTCAGGCCTCAACCTGGCTGGGCCTGGCAGGTGTGGAGCATCCCCGGAGGGACCCTGCCCAGGCCTCCACGGCTCCTTGGCTCTGGGGAGGGGCGGGCCTGTGCCCCTGGGCTGGAAAGGAGAGGCGCCGCACGATGGGTGTATGCGAGGCACCTGCCGCCACCTCCCTGTCTGCCAGTGGCCAAGTCCTACCAGGCCCACAGTTCCCTCGTCTGCTTATAGGACTCTGCAGGGCCACTGTGTGGAGAGGGCTGGCCCGAAGGCCCGGCAGGCACATCCAGCAGGGGCCCTCCTTCTGCACACGGTGCTCCGGATGGCACTGCAGGGAGTGAGGAACCCAAGGACGTGTAGCTGGCCAGGCTGTCAGCCGGGGGTGCTGGGTCGGATCCTGGTGGACAGTGAGGATGAGGCCCCTGCCAGGGCCGGTGCAGACGTCTGAGGGAGACAGAGGTCTGGCTGGTCCCTCCGCCGGCGTCTTTCCCTGGGGACTGTGGTGTGTAGACCCGGGCACTGAGCACCCTGCCCAGGAGCCTGCAGGATGCCCTCCTTTCCTGCCAGCCCAGCCCACTGCAGGGCACAGGGTCAACAACAGAGCCACCACCAGAGAGCGGGGTGCCTGACGCAGCCTCGGGGAGGAGAGTCTGACCACTGCAGACACTGCCTGTTTGTCCTGGTCCGGTCTGGACTGTGTCTTTTCCAGCCCACCCAGCAACCAGCTCTGGACACAGGGCCAGGCCAGGCACCCCAGGCACAGCTCCACTTCCTGTGGGCAGCCGGTCTCCACCCTCCCCAAGTGAGGCTGGTGCTTCTGCAGCCCTGCCCCCACCCTTGCCACCTGGGAAGGGGACACCCTCAAGGGTGCACCCTGCCCAGCATGCTTCCCCTGGCTGGCTGGAGATCGCCTGTCACCCCGGGGTTGGCTCATGGCCACTGCTGCCTTCTCAGCACCCTTACCCTAGGGGAGTCCAGATCCCCACAACCCCCCAGGCTGGAGTAGATGCTGTCATCAGTCAAGTAGTGGCCCGCAGGTGTCCCCTGTGCTCTCGGAACCTGAGTCTACGTCCCTTACACGACAAAGCTGGGATCAGGTTAAGGACCTTTCGGGGGATGATCCTGGATTAGCAGGGGTACAGTGTGATCACAGGGCTTTGGTCTCCAGCTGCTGGCCTGAGGATGGAGTAGTTTCCAGGGGCTCCCGAGAACCAGCCCTGCTGAGTCCTTGACATGAGACCCATCACTTATTTTTATTTATTTATTTTTTTGTCTTTTTGAGACAGGGTCTCACTATGCAGTTCGGACTGGCCTTGAGCTCATTGGTCTCAAACTCACGATCCTCCTGCCTCAGCCTCCTGAGTGCTGGGACTATAGATGTGCGCCACCACATTTGGCCCCCCATCACTTATTTTTCAGATTTCTGATCTGCAGAATTATAAGGCAACAGGCTCTGTGTGTGTGTGCGCGTGCATGCGTGCGTGTGCATGTGTGTGCATGCGCTATGTGGGGACTGAACCCAGGGCCTAGAACACACTAGGCCAGAGCCCCAGCTCCACCCTGAGCTCCACCCAGCCACGTGTGTTGTTCTGAGCTTGCTAGTTTGTGTCCAGCAGTGCAGGACCCTGATGCCAGTGAGCTGCCTGTCTTCTGTGGAGGGGACCCTGCCCCCTAGCATGCCACGGAAGTAGGGAGACCCCTGTGGGGTGGGACCCCCACTGGGAAAGGGCTGATGCTCAGGGGCCACAGAAGGGTGGGTCCACGCTCAAAGGCCCACACAGGAGACCCGGGAGGTGCCAGCTGCTGGGTGCAGAGCCCACAGCCCATGCAGTATAATGGGTGCCTTTCCTCACCGTGGGTGCACACTGGGCAGCAGCCCTGCGGTGGTGGAAGGACTCACCCGGGCAAAATCAGGACCCACATGTGTGGCCATGTTAGGCCCAGCTGTGGGGGTCCCATGACGCCCAGGATTCCAGCAAACCTTGGCCTCTTCACCTGACCCCAACTCCCACGCTGACCATGGGAGAGGAGGGGGCTGTTTTCATGGCTGCTCGACCCCACCACCTCGGGTCAGAGGCACCACAGCCTTTCCAGGCCACCCCTCCACCTCCAGCTCTGAGGAAGGGCTCGTTCTAAGACTGCAGATGCCCCCGCACAGGGCCCTCTTATAAAAGCATCCGGGTTCTGGGGTGCGGGTGATCTCAGGTGAAGGCCGAGGAGGGCTGACCATGGACTTGCACTGCAGGGTCCTCTCCTCAGCACAGTCCCCTAAGGTGACAACATGTGCTCCCTCTCTGCAACCAGGGATACACAGTATGCAAACCTCCCTACACAGTATGCATAGGGAGGACACAGGCCCCGGCACCCTGCACCTGCTCACTGGACTCACAAACTGTCTACCTCCGCCAGAGGGGAAGCAAGGGGCTTGGATGTATTCCCCAGCAGCCTGCCTGATGCCCCTGCTCGGGCCCTGGCAGACAGACACTGGTACATGGCCCTGTTCTCATGGCAGTCACCTCTTAAGATTGGGGCACAGGTCCCCAGATATGTTTCTGTTAAGAGCAGAGGAGTGAGGGCTGCTCCCAGAAGGCCAGAGCTTCTGACCATACCCCTTCTGCAACCCCACAGATCCTAGGGATTCCGCATGGGTTGTCAGGGCCTCTGGAGGTCTGCTGTGTATGGCTCCTACTTGCATGGCACAGATCATTTAAATATGAAGTATGCCCCAGAATCCTGTGCTGAGGGCTTGACTCCCAGTGTTCAGAGGTGGGCCCTACAGAGGTGACTATCACGAGCGTGCTCACATCATCAGAGATTCATCCACTCATGAGCTCACAGCTGCCTGGCTCTTAGGGAGGCAGGGCCCACGTGAAGGCAGGTCACTGGGCCCCAAGAGGGCCTCTGCCGTCCCAGCCCTCCCAGCCCTCCCAGCGATCTCTGCTTCCTGGCTGCCATGTAGTGAGGTGCTTTCCTCTGCCATGTCTTCTGCTGTCATGCCTCTGCTGCATCACAGGCCAAAACCAATAGAACCAGCAACCATGGACTGAAATCTCTGAACCCATAAGCCAAAATGTATCTTCCATCTTTTAAGTTGTGTGGGGTATTGTCACAGTTCTGATAAACTGGCTGACACACCCCACTTTTCCTTGTATGGGGGTTCCCTCAAACTCCAGGAGTTAGTATAAGTCTGGGTGACCCTGGATGCTTCCAGGTCCTGTGACACACAAAGGCTCTGAAGAGTTCCAGCAATGCACTGCCCTGCCCTGGATCCTGACTGAAGCCAGTGGAACCACCCAATGCTTCAGAACATGTAGAGGGTGCAAAGGGCATGTGGCTGCTTGCAGCTTGCGATGTCTCTCTTAGCCTCTGCGTTTTGCAAATGGCCCTGCTGGCTAGCCACGTCCTGTGGCTCTGAGCTTCGCCTTGCCCATGCTGGGGGGCTCCCAAGACCCTTCTTATACCAGCAGTGGGCTGGACATGGCACGGACGGAAGGGCCTGGGTGCAGGCACGGTGGTGAGGTGGGCCCCATGGTGCCAGCATACGGTGTGCACACAGGGTCAGCATGAGTAGCTGAGTTCACGCGTACCCACATCCGAACCTGTCCTATTATGTCTCTCTCTTGGTGGTGCTGTGCCCCTCAAGAGTACTTTCCAAAGTCCTAGCCCTGTGTCTGTGAGCTGGCTTCTTTTGGAGACGGGTCTCCCTATATAGTTCAGGGTGAGTTTGAACTCACTATGCAACCCAAGTTGGCCTCGAATTTGCAGCAATCTTCCTGCCTCAGCCTCCCAGGTCCTGGCATTCCAGCTGTGCATCATCATTGCCTGGTTTGTGAGCTGGCTTTTTGGAAACAGTGCTGCAAAGATCCTGGAGTTGGGACAAGGTCACAGGGGAGCAGGGTGGGGCCTGACATGATGGTGTCCCCAAATAGCAGCAACTCAGGCTCACATGGACACACAGGGAGGGTGCCTGCTTGAGGCAGGTACAGAGCGAGGGGGTGGCAGCTACAGCCACAGTACACGTGGACTCCTGGCAGCCACAGACACTAAAGAGGCAGGAAGACTTCTCCCCAAGCGCTTCCCAGGGACCCAGCCTGCCTGCACCTGGATGTTTGGCTTCAGGCCT